TAAATTCTTTAACCAGTCTCTTATTTTTAATTCATTTTAGGTAATTGAAAATGAAAAGCTTGAAGTTCAAGACTCAGGACAAGAGGCTAAGAATCTTTCATTTAATGAGTATCCCTCAGGAACTCTTAAGCTTCAATATAATTTTGAGACCATAGAGCAACAGTTCTGTGACTTGCCTGATAATAAAGACTCTGCTGAGTGTGGTGACATTGCTGAAGTAGATGGGGAACTTTTTGTGGCTCAGAGCAACTTCACCTTGATATTGGAAGGTGAAGAAGAAGTTGAGACAGGTGATTCTGCAGCATCTAATGTGCTAGCTAAAGCAGCTAACACAGTAACTGATTCAAAACATGTATACACTGGGGAAAATGATGACCATGGACATGTTGCAAACTTGCCATCTGTCATAACTAATGAACAGGACTCCCAAAAGACAGAGGCCTTACCGAATGTGCCTGAACCAATTAAAGCAGCAGTAGCAGAAAATGTACTAGATGCAATTAAAGACACAAGAAGTAAAGACATTACTTCAGATACGATGGAACAGTCCATTCATGTAAACATACCTTTAATAAGCCAAAAGGTAAGGAGTTCCACCAAGTCAGTCAAATCTACATTGAAGACTGCTCAGGAAGCAAGTACAGTGACTATGAATGCTAACCAAGTTAATGACATGACTCCATCCAGACCTCGAACCAGACGACAACGGACCCAAAGCCTGGATGTGACATCCGTGCAACAGGAAGAGTCCGCAGATGCTGCTCCTCCTGAGATGCTAGGACTCTCAGTTAGAAAGAAAACTAGGAAAACAAAAGAAACTTCGGAGGCTTCGGAAAGTGCCTTTCCTAGTGTCAAAGAACCATCTCAGACCCAGCAAATACCTCAACATGCTCTTACTCCTAAGAGAGGAAGGAGAAAGAAAGACACATTAGAGAGTCTTAATTCTGTGGAACAAGAATTACAGGTTACTCCAGGTAGGGTATTAAGAAGTTCAAGATCTCAGTTGTTGGAACCAGCAACCACAGAAACTTCTCTTAGAAAAGAAGCTAAGCTTTCACCTGTTACAAAAAAGACTCCTAAAAGAATGAAAAAATCTGTAGAAAATCAGGAAAGTGTTGAAATTGTAAATGATCTAAAAACCAGTAAAGTAGCAAGTCCTAGCATAAGTAACAAAAGATTGAGACCTGCTAATTTAGAAACTTCTGAAAATACAGGACATGAACAAGATGGGAAGTTAAGTGAACAGCAGCTGCCTGTTCAAGGGAGTAAAAGGGTTAAAAAGAGAGACATTAAGGCATCAGATGTTAGAGAAGACTCTAAACTTGATTCATCTTCTTTGACTCTTCAAGCAGAAGGTGATATACCTGCTACACCTAGGAAACGTGGTAGACCAAGGAAAATTAATCCATCACTAGATGTAGGATCCGAGGCTATTAAGGAAGAGAACAGTCCTAAGAAGAGCAAAGTTCAAAAGAGATCTGCGAGAAACACCCCAGCTAAAAGTGAAAATACTGAGGTTGGAAAACCAACTTTAGAAAAATCAGTTTTAGTGCCAAATGAGGAACTTGTTACAGTGATGAGTTCTAAGAAAAAGATTACAAAAAGGATTGAAAGTCAAAGCCAAAAACGTTCATTACGCTCAATACCTGAAAAATACATAGATGAAGACATGGCGCAGAGGGAACCCAAGGACCGAGAAGAAAAATTACTTGCCAAAACTCCTGTGACTCAGTTTTCCCGTAGCACAAGGACTAGGTCTAGCAAGGCCATTTTACTGCCAGACTTCTCTGCACCAGAAAATGAGTCTTTATTTTCTCCTGTGTCAAAGGTTTCAAGGAAAGATAAAGGTATGTTTATTTCTATTCAAAGTATAATTTTCATTTTATGCAGTCTTCAGTTTCAAATTGTTTTAAGCATGATTTGAGTTGATACAGACTGTAATTGATTTTTGGGGTTTTTTGTTTGTTTGTTTTTTGGTTGTGGTTTTGTTTTGTTAATCCTCACCTGAGGATATTTTTCCATTGATTTTCAGGGAGAGTGGAAGAGAGGGGGAAAGACAGAGAGAAACATCAATAAGAGAGACACACCGATTCTAGGATTGATTATTTCTTCTAAAGATGATTTGTGGTTACAGGGAATCCCTCTCCTTCCAAAACAACAATTTTGATCTTTTAATAGTAAAATTTAAAGATTTTCTATTTTAAAGTTTATTTTCAGATTTAAGAATTTTCTGGTTCATCATAACCTTTTAAATCCTATACTTCACTTGACTTGGGTTTAATTTTTTAGAACAAAATCATTTCTCTTTATTCTGCTCTTATAAGCGAAGTAACTTAATTTTAGTTTCTTGTTTTATTAAACTTCTTTAAACGGCTGCTTGTATTTTTAACATCAGTGAACACCCTATTATGGTTTCCTGAAGCTGTGAGGAAGGCCAAGAGGAAGATAAGCCATTTAGAAATCTGCAAACTCATATCTTCAGCATTCAGTATGCAAAAACCACTTTAAATATTTGAATTTTTGAGAAACGAGACTGTTCTAAAAAATTGTATTTATGCACTCATTCGTTATATTTCTATAGCCTGAGTCCAGGAAATGGCCCTTTGCCATAGAATTGCTTATTAGTTCTAAAAATGATTTGTAGTTGTAGCAGGTCCTCCTCCCCAAATTATTTTAATTTTTAATTTTGGTAGTACTATATATAATTCAGTTTCTTCATGGTATTATGAAAATGTGGTTATGCATATATTTTGCATGGAGGAGAATGAAAGGACAAAACGTGAGATTTTAGCTAACTTATCAAGGCTGCTATGTTCAAGTTAAAATGGAAAAAAATACAGCAGTGAGCGTGGCAGAAGAATATTAACATAATTCTTTCATACTTTCCTCATGACTTAAACAAAAATTGCAAGTTATTTTGGTATAGTATGGCAAATATATTAATAACTCTGATCTTTTGTTATCTTTACATAGTCATCTTTTATCATTTTCTGTAATAAAAATAATACATACCTGCCATAGAAAATTAGAATTTAAACGTAGATACTCTAGCCATCTAGAGCACCACTAACCACTGCTCACATTTTCTTATATATCCTTTCAGTCACTGATGTGTGTGTGTGTGTGTGTGTATGTTTTTTCTTTTTTAAAAAAACGGTGTGTGTGTGTGTGTGTGTGTGTGTATGTTTTTTCTTTTTTTAAAAAAAAAAAACAATAAACTATGGCTTATGTGTATGTTTTGCTTCCTTTCCCACTTATTTCATGAGCATTTTCAGATACTCTTCTCTAAACCCTGAGTGAGCATGGTTTTTGTATTTATTTTGGTTTGGTTTCATACACAGTGATAGAGACCATGTGTGGCATTTCATCTCCCTCATGTGCCACAGGCTGTTTAACCATCTCCTGTTAGGTGTTTGAGTTTTCAGGTTTCCTGGTAGTCAGTAAGTATGTTTTTTGGGGAAAAAGATGAAACTAATTCTAGAGGACGGTGGCTGGGGAGCATTGATCGCCGAGCCTGTTCTGTGTTTATGATTTTCTGGTCTGTGGTCATCGGTCTAAGGGCGCAGGGAGCTTGCGGCAAAGCTTGTGAATAAATGCACGACTTCACTTCAGTGCCGGCCTGGTTTCCATCAGGGTTTGGGCTCTAACGCGTGGCCAGTGAGCTTCGTCCTTCCACGTCCTGCCCACCCCGCCCAGGGCGCAGTGCGGCACCTGCCACCGGCAAGTTCTGGGGCACGTGCAGCTTTTGGCTGGAATTCTGTGGATCTGTTACTCTGGTGGAGCAGGAAGACAGGACCAGGTCCCCGTGTGAGATAATCCAGGAGAGAGGGAAAGGAAGGACGCTTCCTCTCAGCTCTTGTCACAGCTGATGAGGGCCCACGCCGTCCCTGTCCGCGTCCGCTTCTTTCCTCCTGGCCCAGCCCCCACGGCTCACCCCGGGGCCCAGGTCACCGCTGGCCACCAGCCTGGGATGCCCTTTCGGTTCCTCTCGCTCTGGCAAAAGCCAGCTTGTCAGGTTCTGGCTCAGGACTACCCCCCTCTTGGAGCCCTTCCAAGCTCATGAGTTTGCTCACCGCTCGGGCGGGGCTGGCTCCCTCCCGGTTCCGACCATCTGCAGGTTTAGAAGCTGCAGGTCTGTGGGCAGGTCACTGACCTACCCTGGGCCCATTTTCCCCCCTAAATATATATTTTTATTGATTTCAGAGAGGAAGGGAGAGGGGGAGAGGGATAGAAACATCAGTGATGAGAGAGCATTATTGATCGGCTGCCTCCCTGTGGGCGGAGGAATGGGGTCGTTGCATGATCCACAGACCATTTTCAGTTTGGGGTGAGGACCGTATTCTGGAGATTGAGGTGGCAGTTGCACAACATCGCGAATGTAAGAAATGCTACTGAATAGTTCACTTTAAATTGTTATTTTTTGACCCGGTCGGCATGGCTCAGTGGTTGAGCGTGGACCTATGAACCAGGAGGTCACGGTTCGATTCCAGGTCAGGGCACAGGCCCAGGTTGCAGGCTCAATCCCCAGTCTCTCCCTCTCCCTTCCTCTCTGAAATCAATAAAAGTATATTTTTAAAATTATTTTTTTTAAATGTTCCAGAATTATCCGAGCCAGCCTTGGTGGGAACACTTTTACTACAGAGAGCAGAATTTGACATCTTATAGAACTCTTGATTATCCCAGTAAATGAAGTAACATTAAATTATATAATCTGATAATTTTATTTCAAAGATTTGTTAATTATATTCTTAAAATATTATAACAAAAGCAAGCATCTATAAAGCACTTACCGAATGCCACACATTGTTTTTAATCTTCACAAATAACTTTATAGAAACTGAGGCACGGAAAAGTCTCAGTAACTTAACTTTGGCCCCACAGCTAGTAAGTCCAAAGCTGGGCTTTCATTATGGCAGACTGGTTAAGCGACACCATGCCACTTGCACAATTACATTGCTAATTGCCATTACTATGGAAACCCTATGGTTAAAAAGCAAAATCTGAGACTCAGTCTGATAGATGTTTTTAATTACATATTCTAAACCAATTCTTAATTCAATCATTTTTATCTTTCTGTGGAATAGCTTCCTGTCAGCTTTTAAAATGTCTTCTCTCTGCTTGCCTTTTCCTTTTATGATGTGGACTTTTCTGTTCTTCCCCTTGACTAGAACAATTAACTGAGAATGAGCTGGAAGGAAAGGTTTGAATTCTTCTTTGTAAATATAATTACTTTTGTAAATAAAAACCTTGTGTCTGGAACAGTAGGAATTAATGAAGCAAACTAGCCCAGGTTACATATAAGAGTGATGTTTCCCTCCTCGGAATGTTTGAGGAGCCGTAAAGATTAAAGCTAGTATAATACTATTTTGTATCTGCTTTATGCCCTATTTTCACATTATGGCATTTAGTTTGCAGCATTAACTATTCCTAAACACTTAATTATCCAAATGATGTTGGGATTTTTACTGTCATTTCTCTCGTGGGTACTAAGTTATGATACTAGTGTTTTCTGTTTGGCCATGTTTATATCTGTCTAATGCCCATACTTACTTCAAGTTTTTACCAAAAAAGTATATGTTTATATAAAGTGAAATCGTTACAGTGTTGTTTTTTCTACCTTTCTTTAGCTATAAAAGTAGAAGCTCCTGAACAGCTGAAAGAATTAATCTCAGACTTATCTTCTCCATTTGTCCTCTCACCTCCTGCTCTGAGGACCAGGCGGAAGAACATGTCTAAGACACCCCAACTTGTGCAGGAACTGGTAAGAAGTGTATGATTTTATCTGTATGCTTGTTTAAGCCTGCTTTTTTTTTTTTTAGCAATGGCTTTTAAATAAACTATTTTTTTATTTTTTTTAATATATTTTATTGATTTTTTACAGAGAGGAAGGAGGAGGGATAGAGAGTTAGAAACATTGATGAGAGACAAACATCAATCAGCCGCCTCCTGCACACCATCTACTGGGGATATGCCTGCAACCAAGGTACATGCTCTTGACCGGAATCGAACCTGGGACCCTTCAGGCTGCAGGCCGATGCTCTGTCCACTGAGCCAAACCGGTTAGAGCTAAATAAACTTTAAAAAAAAAAAGAGCATGCATTCGCCCTAACCAATTTGGCTCAGTGGATAGAGCGTCAGCCTGCGGACTCAAGGGTCCCAGGTTCGATTCCAGTCACAGGCATGTACCTTAGTTGCGGGCACATCCCCAGTATAGGGTATGCAGGAGGCAGCTGATCAATGTTTCTAACTCTTTATCCCTCTCCCTTCCTCTTTGTGAAAAATCAATAAAATATATTTAAAAATAAAATAAATTTAGAAGAGCATACATTTTTATTAACATCCCAAAATTGCCTTGTGTACACTTTGAGACCCTACATTTAAGAAAGACTGTGGTATATCACTGGCAGCTGCAGTTTGAATTACCAATTAGGGGAAAGGTTTTAAATTTTAGTGTCTCATCAGAATTACCTGGATGTGTTTGTTTAAAAAGTGTAAGTCCCTGAACCCCTGGCATGTCATACACAGACCACACTTGGAGACAGTGTTTCAGAGGTGATTCCTCACCTAATTACACACAACCCTAAAACACGCATATTTCAGGGATTTGAGTATGAGACCCTATCATTTGCCAATATAAATTCATAAGCATTTTTTTAATTATCTGCCATTATCCAGCTACCGTGCAAGGACAGAGACTTAGACAAAAATAATTCAGGCAAATTCCTTGTCTCTCAGGAGTTCAGTTTAATTGAAGAGGCAAAAGCACAATTATTTTCTAGCACAATAAGAATCACTTCTACCCAAATGCCCCAGTAGAAAGAAGGTAAAGGAGACAAGCATTCTTGGCAGAGATAACAGCAGTGGCAAAGGCATGCACCATGACAGTGCACTGGGGGGATCCGTTTGCACATTAACAAATAGCTATGGGGGGGGGGTTGTTATGTGCATTTAAAAATATATATTTTTATTGATTTCAGAGAGGAAGGGAGGGAGAGAGAAACATCAATGATGAGAGAGAAGCACGAATGGGCTGCCTCCAGCACACCCCACACTGGGGATGGAGCCCTCAACCTGGGCATGTGCCCTGACTGGGAATCAAACCATGACCTTTTGGTTCATAGGTCCACACTCAACCACCAAGCCATGCTGGCCAGGCTAGCCCTGTGCATATTTTAAGTTGTTTCTATGAAAAATGAATTGTGGTGAGGAAAAAATGGTCTCCAGTAGCCCAGTTCTTATGAGATGATGAGAGCCTGGCTTTGGACAGACATTGGGAACAAAAGGGCAGTGAACAGTGGAAACATCAAAACATGAAACTGGGTAGGCGGATAATTGTGTGTGAGGATGAGGGATAAAAAGCATTCTTAGATGATAGTTTTCTACTAAAAAAATCCTATATGATAAAAGGCTAATATGCAAATCAACCACTATGACATGCACTGACCACCAGGGGGCAGACGCTCAACACAGGAGCTGCCCCCTGGT